TCCATTTAAATCTGTTCTTTACCCAGCTACCAAAGTGATTTTCTTAAGCATTGGTATGATTAAGTCAGGCTGCCTACATAATGAATGCTAGTGGCTCTATATCATCTCTCCTGTGTAGCATTTAAAGTCCTTCACAATGACCCGCAACTTCCAGGACAAACATGAGCAGTAAGACGGAAGACCAGCCGTTTTCTCTTTTCCTCATCACCTCTCAAACATCTCCAAAAGAAGAATTATGCACAAGAGGTAAGGCTACACTAATCCAGGACCCCCTACTTTATCAGCCTCTGTGCTCTGGCAGGGAAGTATAACTCAACCCAAAGGCTTTTGTTCTGGGATCCACCCAACAATTCTCAACTAAGCACCACCCCGTATCCCTGTCCTCACTGTACCATTCTGAGGAAACAAACAACAAAACTCAACTTGCCCCCTCTTTTGCCTGTTTTTAGGAGGTTTAGGTTCCAGTAGCAGCAGCATGGCTGTACACTGTGCTACAGCCAGTGCTCAGTCAGAGAACTAAGGAACAGAGGGAATAGGGGCAGCGTGCTGGTGTATCTGGGGCTCCACTAAGTCTAAAGGAAAGAGGACTAGCATCCAGCTGATGATCCAATAGGTACTGGGGGCACCTAAAGCTAGCCAAGGTCAGGGCAAGTGGTATGATATGCCCCAGGTGAATTGGTAGGAATATGAGCCCAAAGGGAAGGCAGGCAGGTATATACCTAACAAAGAGTCCCCCTGTTCCCAGATCCTTTCCTCACAGTTATTCTACTTCATCTAAGAACTTTTGACTCACTTCCAGGGGTGGGGAATCTATGGCCTCAAGGCCATGTGTGACCTCAAAGCCTAAAGTTTAGGCTATTAATCTCTCTCTCATTAACACTTCTGTTTATCAACTTGAGGTGGCTAAGAAATACTATTGCTGAGTAACACCAAAACATTTGTGATTACCTGGGGAAGGGGAAAACAGAGAGGTAATCATTAACTCCACTTCCTCTCCACAGAATAGATATCCTGATTTCTACCCAGGCTCACCCACTTTTCATGCTGCCAACATTAACCACACAATAAAGATTAGCAGCTGCTAGTTTCTCTTAAATAAAATAGGAATAAAAGGTAAAAATGAAAGAGTAGTGAGGCAAAGTGAGGGATACAGTTTGTAAATATAGGCAGTCAGTACTGACAGCTTCTGCTGCTGCAAGAGCTATTGAGCATTTACTATGTGCCAGGTACTGTACTAAGCTCTGGGGATACAAAGAAACGGAAAATCAGTCACTGTTCTGAAGGAGCTCACAGTGTAATGGGGAGACAACATAAAAAGATTTATGCACAAACAAGATACACACAGGATAAATTGCAGATAGTAAACAGAGGGAAGGTACTAGTATTAAGGGGAATGGGCTTCTTGTAGAAGGTTGGATTTTAGCTGGAATTTGAAGGAAGCCAAGGAAGGCAGAAGATAGTGGTGGGGAAGGAAAGCATTCCAAGCATGGAAAGAAAACCAGTGAAAATACCTGCAACCAAGAGATGGAGTGTCTTGTGTGAGAAATAATAAGGAGGCCACTGGCACAGAATATTGGGGGGGGTGGAGAGATTAAAGTTTAAGAAGACTAGAAAGGTATGAGGGAGCTAGGTTGTAAATGGCTTTGGACACCAAATAGAAGAGTTTATAACTGATTCTAGAAGTAATAAGGAACTACTGGAGTAGAGGGAGGCAAGAGTGCTATGGTCAGACTTGCACTTTAGGAAAATCAATTCAACAGCTGTGTAGAGAATAAATTATAGGAGAGAGACTTGACCCAACAGTTGGCTACTGCAATAGTCCAGATAAATTCCAAAGGACTTGGCAAATGATTGGATATGGAGGGTAAACGAGTGAAAAGTCAAGGATGACACCTTGGTTGAGAGTCAAGGTGACTGTGAGGAAGGTAGTGCCTTTGACAGTAATATGAAAATTAGGAAGAGAGGAGTATTTGGTGGGGGAAGATAATGAGTTCAGTTGTGGACATGTTTAATTTAAGATGTCAACAGAACATACAGCTCAAGATATCCAAGAGACAGCTGGAGATATGAAACTGGAGATCAGGAGTCAGGTAAAGGCTAGATAAGGAGATCTGGGAATCATCAACATAGAGATGATCAATTTGAGTCCATGAGATTACCAAGTGAAGTAGTTTAATGGGAGGGAAAAAAGCCCAAAACAGAGCCTCAGGGGACACCTATGGTTAGGGAGGGAGACCTAGAAAACAATTCAGCAAAAGAGATTGAGGAGTGGTCAAGCAGGTAGCAGAAGAAACAGCAGAAAGTATGAAAACCTAGAGAGAAAAGAATATCAAGGAAAAAGGGTGGCTTAAGTAGCAAAGGCTGCAGAGAGGTCAAAAAGGGTGAAGTTTTAGAAAAGCCATTAGATTTAGTAATTAAAAGAGCACTGTTAAGTCTGGAGAAAGTAATTTCAGTTGATTTATGAGGTTAGAAGCCAGACCATAAAGAGTTAAGAAGGGAGTGAGAGGAGAGGAAGTAGAGGCACAGATTACAAACAAATTTCTCAAGGAGTAAAGCAAAAAATGGAGGAGAGTCATAGGATGATAGCTATCAGGGACAGACAGGTATAGTGAGGGGATTTTGAAGATGGGAAAGACATAGGCATGTCTGCAGGCTAGAGGTTAAAGATTAGTGAGAGTCAGTGACAGGGAATCTCCTGGAGAAGACAGGACAGAAAGCTAGCTGTTTTAGGATTCTTCACGTCTTGGAGAGAAAACAAGGCAAAACTCCAGAGGAGTGAAGCAGTTAATGGCAATTGCTCCTGTCCCCACTTTTGGGGCAGGGGACAGATCTCACCAATCATTATTTCCAATTCATGGCAGTTCTTCAATCCAATCAGCATAGTAAATGCCTCTATCACCAGCAGTAGCACCAGCAGTAATGGCTTATCACAGTCTCTTATGAGGGGATAGTTGGGGATCAAATAACCTAAGCCTTATGATATCTACCCACATGATCTCAAAATGGAGTGGTGTGATAGGAGCAATAATTCCTAAGACTAGCTTTTACTAAGGCCTTAGTTCTTTTCCTTATTATGTACTGAAACTCTCCTTAAACCTTAATTGCATAAGAGGACTTGCTTAAGATGCTGACATGACTTCCTGACTTCCTGATCGGCAAAAAAAAAAAAAAAGGTCCACAAAGAGTTCTAGATCCTTCTCTGACACTTCTAACTATGTATCATCACTAAGAAGCTGTGCTCAGCTTTATTAAGGTGGTGTTCTTATCAATATCCTTTCCTGCTTTGGCTATGTCAACTTCCACTTATTACATATCGAATGACCTCCAAGTGTCTCATCAAATACGAAATCTCATCTCAGCTTAACTGTCTACAGACTTTCAGCAAGAAATCTCAGCAAAGCAGAGCAAGAAAACCCAGTTCCGTGACATCATTAGCTGGTGGATTTTAGGGTAATTTATCCATAGCAATACATGTTACACATGTTACACATATGTATCTTGCCTCCTCCATTAGAAGGTAAGGTCCTTGAGGTCAGGGATTATTTCACTTTTGTATCTGTACACCCAGGGCTTGAAAGCACTTAATAAATGTTTGTAGATAGGCTACAATAATATAGAGAAACATGGAAAAATATATATAATCTGATACACAACCAGAAAAACAACATATACAATAGCTACAACAACATAAATGGAAAGACGATTATCACCAAAACACATGATAGTTTTAAGCTTTAATAGCTAGAAAAAGAGTTAGGAATGCAACAGTATACCTCCCTTCCTTCTTTGCTGAGGTAAGGATTTACAGGTGTGGAACACTACATATAATGTCAAATTTAGTTTATTTGCTGAATTGGTTGGATTTTTTCCTGTAATTTTTTGTTATAAGAGATGGTAGGAGGAAGAGAAAGATATTGGGAAATGTTAGAGATATAAAAACAAAAAAAAGATCAATGAAAATGTTCAAAGAAAAAGTCTAAAAAGATTCCCTTAGCCTATCAGCAGACTTCTATCTAGTTAGTAATTAATACATTAACTAACACTTTTTTTAACAAGCTACCAGTCTGCCTAATATTCTATCACTCAGCCCATATTTCTTAGTACTCAGTGACTCCCTGCTATCCCTGCCAGAGCTATGAAGGAAAATTTGTTCTTCCCATATTAAGTTTTAACTCAGAAAACATGTTCCCACAGCAATCCAGTGAAACATGATGATAAATACGGCAGAAAAAGTCCTGTATTTGAAGTCAAAAGGCCTGAATTCAAGTTCTGCCAATGCCACTTACCAGTCACTTCACTTCTGTGATGTCAGTTTTCTTCCTAACTACATGGGGATGACAAGAGTCTACCATTTGTACTGTGCCACTCACAGGCCTAACATAATATGGAAGGCATGGTGCACATTGTGGGTACAATGTAAGTGTGAGCAATTGTGTTAGTATTAATAGTCTTCTACTACTGACAATAAAATTTAAGTTATTATGGATCAACATTCTATGAACTAATCTGAAAAATCTAGCCATTTAAATAGGTATTCCCCCATGGGAAAACGCATTCTATGTTCCAAACAATACATATATAAATTAACTTCTGTAGCAGAATTTTTTTTCCCTTCACAATCTTAGGAATTGCTTATATGAAGATTTCATAAAGATAGTCCACTGTGAAGCACTACTAATAAAAGAGAGCTAATTTCCAATTATTACTAATAATTACAACTTGTTAATAATTGCATTCATCACATATGCCATTGCTTTGATCTCAAGATTTCAAAATTATTTTATCTTAATTTTATTTCTATACTTTCAATGTCATAATTCATATATGTACATATACATATATATATATTTGAGATAAGATTAGAACCTTATATCAGATTACAGATCCAGCATAAATCACTTTTAAAAATTATAAAAGAACTTTACATTTTGTAAATATTTTTTACATTTACATTTTATAAATACTTTACAGAAAAGCTCTTTGCCTCCCCAAAGTCTCACCTCTTAAAACAAGCTGGAAGGAGCATGACACTTTATTAGTAATATTCTTCACAGCATCACTTTCAGAAGGGAAATAAAATAGCAACAGGAAATGTGGTGGAAAAGTTTTATCGAAGACGCTGGGTAGATCATCAAGGGATAAAGGCTTATATCTTATAGAATCCTTATGTTGTGGTTTGCTCTTCAAACGAAGTGAAATTAAAACTCCAGCAAACAGCAATGGCAATAAGACTTCTATGAGGCTTGATAGAAGCATGCGCTTCTAGAAGAAAAATGAAATTTTCATGTTAAACCAAAACAAGACCTAAATAAAAGGCATATGGAGGGGTTCTTCCTCCAGGCTCACTCCACTATGTCCAAAAAAGGAAAAACAAGAACTAAAATGAGAGTCATTTGGAAAGGTTCCAATGATCTTTTCTGCAATAAATTGAACTCACTTCAAAAACATTTTCTTTAAAAATGATATAATTATATACACATACAAGTATATATGATGATATTATCCATTGTAAAAAATTGTATATTTGCTAATCAGGTGGTTTTTATTGTCTTTCAAAAATTCTTTTAAATAGCTAGTCTCTCCCAAAGTCCCACATTTTTTTTGACAGATGCATTATATACCTACCTTTAAGATATAATTTTTCCAGAGAAGAAGTTTAAACAGCCTACACACTGCCATTCTTCTGTTTTGAAGAAAAGCTCATCACTATATAGGGGCCAAAGGAAAATAAAAGTTACATATTTAACAAAAATATTTAAATGTATACTTTTTTTGCTGAAAGAGGCAAGGGGAAGAAACAATCAATGCAACAGAAATCTTTTTCTTTCCTAAGTGTTTTCTTCACTCTTTCTTTTCTGATTATTTTTAAGCCTTAAGTTAAAAAACACAAACACAAACAGGAAAACAAGACTATTTACAGGGTTTTTTAAGCCAATACTATGGAGTTCATTTATGTTACTGTTCTTTAGTGCCATATATGAGTTTTTCAATAGGCACTGACTGGTGGTGTAGTGGGAAAATTACTGGATTTGGATCAAAGGACCTGGGTTCAAATTCCATTACTATTACTTACTACTTATGTGACTGTGCAAAGCACTTAGCTTCTATAGGATCCAGTTTCTTCATGTATAAAATGAGAAGGTTAGACTAATCCGAGGGCCATGAGTTAGCTGGTGCATGGCCAATTTATATTTAGGCATCCCTAGACCCCAAACCATGTTTCACATGCTAATCAGCTACCTCCCTCCACCCCCTTACCAATGATCACTCCACATGCATGCTCTTGGTGACTTAATCTACTCAGATGTGGAAATATCAGCCTAGGGCTCTGCTAGTGTAATTGGTGTGCTAGCTAGTATAAATACACATAACCTACTATACCTAGCTGGCCCCAGACCATGCTTCACATCCCACCTGTCCACAACCCACCCTGGCCATCGCCTTCCATCCACCCTGCTGACCACTAAACTTTTTGAGACTCTGACCTGGTTGACTTAATCCTTTCAGCTTTGGAACCATCCCCCTGAAGCCATACACTGTATTGACTGGTGAGTCAGCCAATGAGAACATATATGGCCCACTATATGAGGACAAAAATCCCAGACTATGCATCATATTCCCTCTGACCATTCACTCCAGCCTTTTCCTTGCCGTCTGACCTACTGCCACATAGGTTATACCCCCTTCCTTGCTTTCTATCTCTTATACCATTGCCTCTGGAAAGGGTGTATCAATTGACTCCCCTATTACTCGACTAACCATGTCTGTGACTTCTCAAACCAAAACATACTTCTCAAACCACTATTCCCCCATGTGTAATCTCTCCCTTTTAGAATATAATAAGTTCCTTAAAAGCAAACTTTGTCTTGCTTTTGTATTTCTATTTCATTGTGCTGAGCATATAGGCAGTTAGGTGACTTAACAGACAGCTTTTAGAACCTGGAGTTAGGAAGACCTGAGTTCAAATCCAGTCTCAGACACTAGATATGTGATGCTGAGCAAGTAACTTAACACTTCTCTCTGCCTCAGTTTCTTCATCTGTAAAATGAGGATAATAATGATATAATAATTGCAAAGCTCTTAGCACAGGGGTTGGCACATAGTAAACACTATATAAATGTTAGCTACCATTATTATTATAATAACATTTAATGAATACTTTCCATTCATTCACTTATAGTCCCTTCCAGAGCTAAATCTTCAATCCTACAACTCTCTCATGGAGTTCAAAATTAGTTTTTATTTCAAACTTAAATGGGCATTTCTACATATAAAGAACAGAAAAAGAGGATTGTACATAAAACTACAGTTCTCTATGTACAAGTTACTTTTCTTTTTAAGTATATAATACATATAAGTGCATGTGTACATATCACTTAAAAAGTATTTCAATGATTTTCTTTTTTGTTTTCTTTTTTTTTTTTTAGCTACCCTACTCCTATCCTACTTCCACACTTCAGAATTAGGAAACACCCTCCCCCATACACACACACACTCTCAAAGCCCTTATAACAAATATGCACAATCAAGTCAAATAAATTCCACATTGGCCACATTTGAAAATACTGTCTTATTCTGCAAAGTATCATATTCAGGTATAAACAAGGATACAAATCCTGTGAAGGCTTGTTAAACATTCAGACTTTGAGAACTTGCAAAAGGACTATTTTCTTGGTTTACTATAGGAGGGGACCGCCAGCTAAAACTGAAATACTGAAAAACAGGACCAAACCTCAAAAGCATCAGGATTCTCTGCCTCTACAAAATACTACACCATACCATTAATTCACACCATAAGCACAAGTTGCTGATACTTTTTATTATTTTATTTTTAAGTTTATATTTGATGGCTGTTCATAATTTTCATAAAAATTACTATTTTATCTTTAACATATCAATTTGGAAACTTGTATTTCCATAAACTACCTCACAAGTCTTATCAGGGAAACTAATTAACAGGAGTCAATGTAAAGAAATATGCTTTTGCATGCAACTTCTAAAAAAAAGTATTTATTTACACATTGGGGATATGTACATATCAACACAGCACTAAGTAGTATGTAATGAAACTTATTCAAAAATATTTGATAAGGGGGCGGAGCCAAGGTGGCAGAGTGAAAGCAATGACTTCCTTGAGCTCTCCCCCAAACCCCTCCAAACACCTATAAAAAATGGCTCTAAACAAATTCTAAAGCAGCAGAACCCACAAAATGACAGAGTGAAACAAATTTCCAGCCCAAGACAGCCTGGATGGTTGATCCAACAGGTATATCGCCCCAGGCTGGGGACGGGACGGCAGCGAACCTGGAGCAAGCCTCAGAGGACTGAATCACAGGCAGCTATGGCGGTTTCCAGACTTCTCAACCCACAAATGCCAAAGACAACTTAGAAGGTCAGTGGGAAAAGTCTGTCTCTTCAGTGAGAGAGAAGCTAGGTCTCAGCCCCAATTCCCAAGCGTGGCTGCGGCTGCCTCCTGAGCTTCAGGCCCACAGACTGAGGGGGAATCGAGTGGCTGATCAGAGGGAGATTGCAGGGATCTCTTTGCCAGGGCTGAAGCAGGAATCTCCTGCTTTGCCCAGGCTTGGATCTGGATCACAGTTCTGAGGAGTGGTCCAGGGGTGAGGAGGAGCCCTGGCGTGGTGAAGCTTGTAGGGTGGTGGAGAGGAAATCCTCCTCACAGTTCCAAAACAGAAAAGAGGGCTTGTGATCACTCATAGACCAGGACAGGCCAGGAAAGGAGTAAACACCTCACCTTCGATCATACCACCTTGGAAGAACTGAAAATTTACAGGTCCCTAGAAGTATCTCTGAAAACAGCTGTACAAACCCCCAAAGCTTGGGACAGTACATTCTCCACCATGGCGGCAGACCTCTACCTTAATAAAGAGTTTATAACTCAAGTAATTGGCTGAGATCATGAGCAAACCTCCCAAGAAGTGTCAGACCATAGAATCTTTTTTGGTAACAAAGAAGATCAAAATTCACTACCAGAAGAAGACAACAAAGTCAAAGCTCCTACATCCGAAGTCTCCAAGAAAAATATGAAATCAGTCCCAGGCCTTGGAAGAGCTCAAAAAGAATTTTGAGAAGCAAGTAAGAGAAGTAGAAGAAAAACTGGAAAGAGAAATGAGAGTGATGCAAGAAAATCATGAAAAACAAGTAAAGAGCTTGCTAAAGGAGACTCAAAAACATACTGAAGAAAATAACACCTTAAAAAATAGCCTAACCCAAATGGCAAAAGAGGTCCAAAAAGTCAATGAGGAGAAGAATGCCCTAAAAAGCAAAATTGGACAAACAGAAAAGGAAGTCTAAAAGCTTACTAAAGAAAATACTTCCTTAAAAATTAGAATAGAGCAATTGGAAGCTAGTGACTTTATAAGAAATCAAGACACTGTAAAACAAATCCAAAAGAATGAAAAATTAGAAAATAATGTGAAATATCTCATTGGAAAAACAATTGACCTGGAAAATAGATCCAGGAGAGATAATTTTAAAATTATTGGACTATCTGAAAGCCATGATCAAAATAAGAGCCTAGACATCATCTTCCAAGAAATTATCAAGGAAAACTGCTCTGATATTTTAGAACCAGAGGGCAAAATAGAAACTGAAAGAATCCAACGATCTCCTCCTGAGATCCCCAAAGGAAAACTCCTAGGAATATTGTAGCCAAATTCCAGAGTTCCCAGGTCAAGGCAAAAATATTACAAGCAGCCAGAAAGAAACAATTCAAGTATTGTGGAAACACAATCAGGATAACACAAGATTTAGCAGCTCCTACAATAAGGGACCACAGGGCATGGAATATAATATTCCATAGGGCAAAGGAGATAGAATTACAACCAAGAATCACCTACCCAGCAAAACTGAGTATAACTTTCAGGGGGAAAAAATAGTCATTCAGTGAAACAGAGGACTTTCAAGCATTCCTGATGAAAAGACCAGAGCTGAATAGAAAATTTGACTTTCCAATATAAGACTCAAGTGGAACATGAAGAGGTAAACAGGAAAGAGAAATCATAAGAGTTGAACTGTTTACATTCCTACAGGGAAAGATGATATTTATAACTCATGAGACCTCTGTCAGTATTAGGGTAGTTGGAGGGAAAAAATTATATATATGCATATATAGATAGATATAGATATAGACATAGATAGATAGAGGGCACAGGGTCAGTTGAAGATGAAGGGGTCATATCTGGACAATAAAATCAAGGGGTGAAAGAGGATTATACTGGAAGAAGGAGAAAGGGAGAGGTAGAATGGGGTAATTTATCTCACAGAAAAAAAAACCCAGAAAAGAAAAGGCTCTTACAGTGGAGGGGAAACAGGGGAAGGCGAGAGGGAATGAGTTCATTTTAAATCTCCCCACTATCGGTTTTCGCCAACAAATGGTCCCAAAAGAAAATTCAGCCCAGCAACACTATTCTCCCCTTCCTAATGGTATTATTATTACTGCAAAATCCCCTTCCCAACGCTATCTTCCTCTTTACTCTAATTCTTATCTAATTTCCAACGCAGGTACAAAATGCCTAAAGCACCATCAACCCTATATGAATCTCTACTATAGCCCCATCCACTATGGCCTATGAAAACCATCAAAACTGCACACAAATTCTCCTACAGTCCCAATGAGAAGTTTTTCTTATTTATTTAATTTAAGCCAATCCACAAATATTTATTAAGCACCTACTGGGTGTCATCAC